AATATGCCAAATTTCAAAACATGTCAGTATATAAATTCATGTATATCTTTGGAAATTTTGAATAAAGAATTCATTTTTTTTGCAGGAATGCCTAGAAATACATCTGCTTTAAGATGATGGTAAAAATTTGGTAGGTTTGTAATTCAAAAAATGTTTTCGAAAACTTTATAAAAATTGCTAATAAAATATAAATTTTAAAAACAAATCAGCTGCATATTGAATTGAAAGTAAATCTTCGAATTGTAGGAAAAGAAAATAAGTTTAATTTTAAAAAAGTAAGCAATATTATTAAATACATGCCAAATTCAATTAACATTGAGAAGCTAAACTTTGGAAAGCTAATTTTTTAAAATCTACTCTTAATGATTTTTCCAAAATTTGGCACTTTGGCATAATTTGAGTTGTAGAATCGAAATATAGAAAAAAAGTCGGTATGCCATCTCAGAAAAGGTCCAATTTTTTGTCAGAATACTTATGTTAGAACAAATATATAAATCTAATATATATCCTAAGTCGTGCTTTCGAGACGTGAAAATGCAAGTTAATTTTCGTCAATTGGCCCAGTAGAACAGGAGATATAGAACTGCCCCCCTTTCTTTTGTGCAAGGTGTACATATGCATACTTAAATAAAAGGAATTAAAAACTTATTTCAAATAAAAATAAAAATTCAATCTGAAATTTTGGTTTTTTAAAGTATTCAACCTTGCATTATTAAAATTTTGCCCCAAATTGTTTAACTAGGGCAGTGAGTGCTCACTTTACTTTATTAGATATGATTTGCACTCGAAATTTACCATCTTAATATTACTTTTATGTTAATTTTTTATGGCTGTAAATCTTTGTAGTATAATATTTCAAATATGTAATGTTATCTGGGATGTGAAAGTCATTGGGGGAGACATGTTTCACATTAAGGGAGAATATTGCTCACTAAAGTGTATGTGTTTGTGTTTTTTTAATGTGCTGCATATTCTCGGCATACGAAAAATGTGAAACATAACTGGAGGTTCCATGTCCCTTATCTCCTACATCGGCAACAATGTAGAAAATCCTTTCTTTCTGTAATAGGTGCTTAAATTAACTAGGCATAAATTAAATAAACTAGCTTGAAAGCAATAACCTTCATATTAGCATTATGCTGAGCCACCACTGTACAGGTAGGTTTTTGCTTTGTTATTCTGATTTAGTTTTTAAGTAGGAGATAATGAAAATCGCAGCATCTTTCCATAAAATCAACTTCTTTCGCATAACAGAGCCTGAAAAATGGTAAGTTAACATGTTGGTTCATCATTATGCAAATTGGCTCTGGTTGCATAGCTGCATCACTAAGAAGACTTAAGACAGGGTTGCCACGCTACCTGGAAAACCGGAAATAGTCAGGGAATTCGGAAATTGACCAAAAAATTCAGAGAAAAGTCAGGGAATTTAAGTGTTTTAGTCAAAATCTGGAAAAGTCAGGGAATTTCATACAACGATCCCGCCAAAAAAGGCGAGTTTTGCGCCGACGTCGAAAGAGATAACTTTTTTAGCGAATTGTGTATCACGTGAGTGTCATTCGGGCAGCTGGCATAGAGCCAATTTTCGCAGCTCCAATTTGATTGTCTTTTTAGAAAGGCAAGCAAGTTTCCCGCAACTTTTGGTTTCCAGCAACCTCGAGAATCGCGTGTGCAGTGCATGAACTAAAGAAAGTACCTGTTCTCGTATAAAACAAAATGGGTTTAATCCTAGTATACGGTACCATGAAGGTTAGAATTAAAAAAATATGTATTGTAAAGAAGGAAAACCTCTCTGCAACAGACGTGGCTCGGTTCCATCATAGCGGGAAACAGCTGTGCATGCGCGATATAGTATCTGTCGCCAAAGCTCGAAACCGGTGTCGAAGTTCGAAGGTCACGTTATCAAGAGTCCATAAAATGAATATCGTTTAAAATGTCTTTAAAGGAAAAGAAAATATTTTTTGGCGCAAGTAAATTAATTCATGGATTAGTTATTTTGACGGGGGGGGAATCTACGAAAATCCGTTTTTAAAATTATTGAATCCAAGAAAAACGTTTCTTTCTTTGATTTTTCGCAATAATTTAAAAACGGATTTTCGTAGTTTTCTTTTTGTCAAGAACGTTTCTTCTTAACACGTTTTCTATTTCCTGTACACATCGCGAGAGGGAAATTCTGGCCGTTCCGTCGTCAAATCCCTTGGCAAATTTTCCCTCCGCTTTTTACATAGACGTTCTTTGGTCAGAATAATCTCCATGTATGGTACAGGCGGGATTTTTGGCGACATGATGATGAGCAGTAAACGGGTCATTTTTGTTCTTGGCGACAATTTTCAAAATCATGCGAAGGCCGTATCGTATACTAGGATTTTACCGCAAAATCTTTTTTTTTTTTTTTTTTTCTTTTTAATAAATACCTTGTCATTTTGCAGTAAAAAAAAAATAGTCATCAATCATCAGGATAACCATATGTAACTATATTCGCTAAAATATCGTTGATTATTCTAATTAAATTTTTAAGTATATATCTTTATTTTTATGTTATTCATATCATTTAATGTTGCTCTTCTTCCCTCTAAATTTATTTATCATTAGTAAATAATATTTCCAAATTTCAGGAATTTTCTCTGGCATAATCCTGAAATTAATTCTAGCAGTATGATGACATCACATTTAATGCACATATTTTTTCCTTATGTATGCTGCGAAATAAAAAAATACCTCAATTTTTAAAAAATATCATTAATAGATTTCTTCTTTTGTTTACTGCAGAATGTCTGCAAAAAAAGCCTTAATTTCCAGATTGGGCAGATTCAAATTTCAATCTTCATGGAGAAAACACTATATTATAATTATATTTGTGTTTTCAAGTGTTAAGGTGCCTTTTAAAATACACCTCACACAAATTAAATTACCTAAAATCTAACCTAACTTTTAGCATTGCGTTGTGATTTATAAAATCGATTAGCCTCGTTGAACTGGGGAGATCATGAGTAATAATTAAATAAAACGTACAGTTGGTTATCCAATGTATATCTTAATTTTATTAAGTTTTTTAAGTGGAAAAGTAAACAAATTATCAAACAAAGTGTACCAAGAATAATTAAGAATAAATGTCCTCTGGGATTTATGAATAATTAAGTGAATTTGCTACACCGTACAAGTAATACCATAATTAAGTTACCTCTTAGCACAGCCAACGTACATTACGTGGATAGACTGGAATTTCTCGAAACATACCTGGAAAACCTGTCAGGTTTTCCAGGTCAAAAAAAGTCAGGGAATTTCATTCTCCTCTTTGAGTGGCAACCCTGTTAAGAACATAATAAATAATATAATAAGAACGTAAGAACTAATTTTTTAATATTTTTAATAATTAATATTTTTTTTTATCCTGTGAAGAATTGTGATTTTGCTATTTTCAGTGAATTAAAAAAAAATATGTGAAGTGTATTATGTTATTTTAAGTTCATGCAATGCACTTGATTTCAATGTTGCAACTAATTAGATTAAGTAACTACTCTGAAAATTGTGCTATATCTCAGTTTTTGTTAAATGATGTCAGTAATTTTATATTTTGCATAACAATAAATTTTATACTTTCTGATTAAACAAGAATGAATGATTACTTTCTGATTAAACAAGAATGAATGATAGTTTCTATTTTGTAATTTATTTTGAGAAAATGCTTTCTGAATGCAGTAGAACTCCACTTAACCGAATCAATAGGGACCGGACCCCATACAGATAATTGGATTTTTTCCAAATAAAGAGGCTATGTACACTTTAATTAATTACTGTATGTACTGTATGTTGAAAAAAACTATTTTTAAAGAAAAAGAGTTTTTAATTAATTAAAATGAAAAGGGCAACACTTTTACATACATGTTATATAGCGTACTGTACAGTACTTACAAGTGTTGAAAGTCATTGCTTGCTGAACATCTCAGTCAAAGTAAGCAGCTTGACTGTCTTCATTCGTTTATGGGCTTCTTCAGCTTTGACATTAAGGTCATCTTCTTCCTCGACACTTTCTTCTCTCACACTATCAATAAATTCATCATTATTTTAGAATTTGAAACCCAGGGTCTGACGAATCACACACCATCCATTCTGCTGCATCCTCAGCACTAACTTCTGAATGTCCAGGAATTTTTCAAAAGAATATATCTTAATTCCTCAAGTGACACATCATTCTAATCTTCTGTCTTTTCTTGAGCTTTTTCTCCTTTTCCTTCTATTCTTCACTTTTTATCCTTTTCCTTCTCTTCTCGAGTTGATTCTGAAAGCGATTTGGCTAGTCGGAGTTCGAATAATTGAAGTTGTACCATAATTACATGATTCCTAATTAAATGTTGTGTAGAAAACAACTTTTAATTAGGAATGCTATGTAGAGTACTTTGTTAGACATGGTCATATTTAATATTTCTTATGTGTATTTTTGCTAATGGATAAATTATTTGCTAGTAAACGAATAGGTAATTAGAAAGTTAATGTATTTGGCAAGAAATTTAATTTGTATGTTTGATACCAAAATATTACATTCAAAAATTAAAGTATATTTTAACAGATGTTAATTGTATTAATTATGGAACTGTATTTCGATTTAAGGTTTTTTTTATCAGTTGTAAAGGCAAAATGCTAATGTTTAAAATCAGCTTTAGAACTCTAAAACTGTTTTTCAATGCCATGCTAATGATTATTAAAAATGTTTATGTAATCTTTAAGGGCTATGAACATGAATAAAAGACATTCTTTTTTGGATTTATGCACACATGGTTGATTATGTATAAAATGTTGTTATTAAATTCAAGTGTCTGTTTCTGTTGAATAATATGATGTTAATAAAATCAGTTATGGAATATATTGAGTTATTAATATGATAGATTTATTTTATTACATCTTATAATAAGACAAATGTAACATTTAACATTAATTTTGTTACACAAGTTGCATTTTCTCTTTCATTTGATTTTTATGTGTGTACTTTTTTTTTTCCTTTCAAGTTACCTGACTGATATCGATCGACTGTCTGCATCTGATTATTTACCTACACAACAAGATATTCTTAGAGTGAGAGTACCAACAACAGGGATTATTGAGTATCCCTTTGACCTTGACTCAATAATATTTAGGTAAAAGATTGTATGGAATTTAAAGTTCTATTTTGTTTAATTTTAATATTATATTTTCTTTAAAATGTTATTTTTAATCATGACAAATTGTGGTATGCTCTTTTTAAATGGTAGACAAAATTTTTGTACTACGAGTTATGTTATTTTGGTTCATGCAGTTCACTTCATATAAATAATTTGGAATGAGTGATGTGTTGTAGAAGCCTAAAAATTAAGTCGTATAACATTTATGGGTAAACAATTTTGATGATCATGAAGTTGTACATTTAAAAATTAATAAAAGTGTATTTTTTCATGGAAGAAATACTGGATGCCATTTTTAATTTGTTTATTATGAAAAAATATTATACTATTCAGGTATTTTGCTGAATGCATTTGTAATTTTGTTGTCCAGGAATTCTGTATTTATGATGTTAATTTCACCTTAGTTTTATGCTAGTGTTATAAATTTTGTACATAGATAGACAACATTTTATACATTTTCGGCCCTCATATGACTTCCAGTAATTTCGAGGAGCAGAAAGTACTAGAAATACCTCAGTGGCTGGGTGAAAAACTATATAAGATCGGAGAGAGCATCAATTCCTCAGTTGTTGCTAGTTGTTATTTCAGCATGAGTTCGGAGTACCGAGATATCTCTGGGTTAACTTTCTCTTTAGATGTGCTTTGCACTGTGTTGTGTTTAAGGTTCTTAGAAGTCTGAAATGTAACTACTGATTGTACTCTGTGATGCTGTGAACACCCAGTTCCTCACTTGTTGTGAGTTGTTAGTTCAGCATGAGTTCGGAGTACCGAGATATCTCTGGGTTAACTTTTTCTGTAGATGTGCTTTGCACTGTGTTGTGTTTAAGGTTCTTAGAAGTGTGAAATGTAACTACTGATCGTACTCTGTGATACTGTGTACACCTTTACGAGTATTTCTGTAGAAAGTTGTAGAATTCTGAAGTGTTTTGATAAAACAAATTTTACCATGTTTTCATGTGATCTGTGTGCATTCAATCTGTAATGAACCCATACACACGCAACACTAGAAACTAAGGTACTAATGAGCTTTCTCCTAGGAACAAGTAATATTTATTCAGTGCGTCTTTTCTTTTTCTAATAAGATTTATGGTATTCAGGTATTAAGAACATGTATGCAAATGAATAGAATTTTAGTGAAGTATTTAGATTGTTATACCAAAAATAGGGGCATTGCTGTATTGAAAGTGTAGGGGAAACATGCATTATGTTTTAGGATGCAATAATTTATTAATATGATGCTCGACTTCTTTTCATAATCAATCCAGTATCATTTTATTTGTACAAAGATTCATTCAGTTTGCCAAAAGACATATGATGATAAAGGAAAATAATTTTTTGTCTTGTTCTGTGAAATCAACCCAGGGTACTAATCAACTCAGTGATTTGATTACATAATTCCAAGCCCCGTAATAGATGCTTATCATTTTGTTAGACATAAAACTTGTTCCCTTCACCAGTCTTTAGTAACATAAAGCAACATCTTGTGCATCAACATCAAATGCACAAAATGACAAAATTGTCACTTTGTGCATTTGTTTCCCTAGAATTATTATATAGTCCTTGGCAGTGAGTAACATGCCCATCAAGAAGTATCAGTATGTGTGGAGAATACTGGGATATTGCAGTGCGTAATTGTTTTTCTTTTTAAATAAGAAGCAGGCCCGGTAGTAAATTTTTGAAGAGCTTCTCTGCATGCAAATTTTCTGGTACTTCTTTGTTATAGTGGCCTCAGAGATTTTATTGCCAATCAACTGAGATATCTAGCCAAAGTCTTGCTGCGTCTTCTTATACCTCGCCACCAGATCGTATATTAGCACCGACTGCGTGTTTGTTTATTTTAAAATACATTTATTGCTCTTTTTTATGAATATGATATTAACAATCTGTAATTTACTAAGTAATGAGGTGGATGCCATATAATTTTTTCAAAAAAAAAAGTCTTATACCTGACAAACTAGTAAGCGAAAATGGCCGCAACATGAAATTTCATGTTAATTCACCATTTGCAGGTGCAGTGTTAAAAATTGCCAGAAAGAAGAAGAGCCTCTGTGTTGGAAATTGGTTCAGCAGTGCCAGGGTATCGTTCGTCACTGCTACAGAGGCCGTTTGCACATTTTTTAAATGGTTTTCTGTGTATTTACAGAAGTATTTTATCTAAAACTTTTGTGTTTTAAGGGCTGTGTTTGATAACTCTTATTCTTCACTGTCTCTCTACACCGTAATTTTTAAATTTATTGTCTTGAAAGTATCTGAAGAGTATTTTATCCCATTCCTCTCGAACAGCTTTTCAAAGTCCTTGGGAGGGTTGTAGGTCAATGTTTGGACAATCTGCTTTTTAAAAGTCCAAAAGTGCAAAAATCCATGGGTTTTATATATAAGAAAATTTACGAGGAATATGAGTGAAGAGTCTGACCTTGATATTTGTTTCTTGTTCCTTTTTTTTTTCCCCAGAAATGAGCAGTGTATTTTGATGTGTGGATTCTTGCTTTGTCTTGATGTAGTGCTGCTGATTGATGGCACTGTGGGTAAACAGAAGGTATTTCATATTTAAAAAGAAAAACTTTTAGAGTCTTTGAACCATGTTTTAAATTCTTTTCCCTCTTTCATAATAATAGATGAATCGCTTTTTATTGCAGTCATTTAAACCTGACGTAAAAACATACATTAATATATATACAGACTCATTATATCTGGTTTAGAAGCATTAGCAGATGTTGATCACACTAATACGGGGTGTTTCTAAATGAATATCAGAGTTTTATTGCTTTGTAGTATTTATTACATAAAAATTAAAATCATAATTACCTTATTTGCCAGCGTAAAAGATGCACTTTTTTTCTTTGAAAATAGGTCTGAAAAACGGGGTGTGTGTTATACGTTGATACTGAGTTTTTGATTACATTAATTTCTAGAAATTTCTTCTATTCAGAGTTATGTGATTTTGAATGGGTCAAAGCTTCATGGGATGCTGTAAAAACAGAGACTGTGGATAAATCATTTAAGAAGTGTGGCATTAGGAATGCACTGGATGGTACAGAGGACAATTTGTTGTATGAGGACTCGGATGTTAATTTAGAAGAGGCTTTAAGTGACTCTTCATTTAGCTCTGGAGATGAGTGTGTAGGTTTTGATGAAGAGATTAAAAGGTATTCTTTCCCAGATAGAGTAATAACATTTTATCATTCAAAAATGTGTATAAACAAGAGGGTGTATCTTCTACGCTGGCAAATACAGTAATATATGAAATGAAAGAGCAACTCAAACAGTTCTGTTTATTGGCGCATGCACATACAATAGTAGCAAAAATGTCAACTAGTGAACAGAAGCCTTTTTGTGTTCTGCAGTTTGCAGAGATCGAATCTGCAGTTGTTGTGCAATGTGCATTATGGATTAAGCTCACATGTGATCCCCCAAGTGATAATAACATCTGTACATGGTATCATCATTTTGAAAATATTGACTGCCTTTGTAAAAGGAAGAGTACGGGATGATGAAGGGTTAGTGAAGAGAGTTCATAAAGGATCATGTTAGTTAGTTCATAAATGATCGTGAGTATGGGCCTCCACTACCAGCTAATCTACCGAACCTAAGAAACAGGATTGAGGCAGCTATTGCAGCAATTCCAGAACTGGGCTATCAACTTGATGTGTGCCATGTGATGAGAGGTGCTTATATTGAACACCTGCAAGCTTTGTAGGTTTAACTGTTTGAGTTGCTCTTCCATTTCATGTATTAATTATAATTTTAAGTTATATGTAGTAAACACTTTAAAGAGCTAAAACCCTGATATTCATTTAGAAATGCAGCACCCTGTATTTTGATCTCATATATAAAAGAGCTCTTTGTAAAAGTTCAGAAAATACATGAAGTGAAAATAAACTGGATGAAAGTACATATTCGTGTTATAAGGCAATGAGAGGGCCAACACACAGCCCAAAAAGGCTGCTATGGTTAATGTTGGGGATGTGTTCCATATTCAGGCATCAAAAAGAATTGTTATTCGTAAAATAAAGGATTTCTGTTATGATTGCTGGAAAGCGAAGTGGAACATTTCAGGAAAAAAGAAAGATTATTTGTTGAACTTTTCAGTTGAAGTTTCTAAAAATATCAATGATATGTGATTTTGATTACAATCAAATAATTACTGGACATGGTCATTTCCCCGCATACCTAAAAAGATTTAATTTGCAAAATAATAGTCTTTGTAATGTTGAAGGCAATGCATGACATTTCATTGAAGACTGCGTATTGTGACATATTAGGGAAAAACATGGTAACATAAAAAAATTCTATTGCCACGGGAATGAGTTTAGATTTGAAAAGGATTTGATGAACCTTATAAATGGCAACAGAATAATACTGGGGATTTTGGTTCAGTGTTTTTAACTGTATTTTTGTTTTGTTCTGTGTTGGGTGTGCTGTGTAAACCTTGAGGCCGAGTATTATCAGCCAGGAGGGTTGCAGCACCATTCGTATGTAACATTACATTACTTCACTGCCTAGTTTTGATATCCTTAACTCTCTGACTGCTCAATTTGTGGACCGAAATCACTTCAAAAATTGTGTAATTTTTTTTTTTTTTCATACTTAAAATCTATAGATGTTGGAGAATTGAAAAATTAACTTTTCTTTCTAGAAAATATGTTTTATATATATTTTTATCATGGGAAACTAAAGTTGCCAGAGAAACCAATTTCAGATGTTATCATGAAAAAAGTTTTTTAAAATAAATTTCAGTCGAATTACAGTTAATTTCTATTTATTGCATAATATAAAAAAGCAAAATGTATAAAATTTAACAAAATATAAAGCACTGAGGAAAAACTACCTTAGAAATGCAGTTTAGTATGATAGAGTTCAAAACAGAGTTTCAAGGCAAGTCCAACTTCACAGTCTTTGCACTAGATTCAGTAAATATAATTAATGACAAATCTAATTAATAATTCAATAATTTAATTAAATAATTAAGATAATCGCTGAACATTTTCTAGCAGCCATTTCTGTAAGAAAAAAGCGGTAAAAAGTGAAGTTTGAGCGGTAATACCACGCGCCTTCAAATGCTGCAGTTAGTGGACAATTAATGATATCTGTTGGCCAAAGCGTAAACTAAACATCTAATACTGTATATAATTTATTTCGATGGTTAAACGGGGGGGGATGCAATGCGCTGCTCAATAAAGGAAGAAAAACACTTGCCTGCGGAAATCGCAGGATGAGCAGGTTTTGCTACATTTGAATTGCCCGTGGAAATCGCGGGATAAGCAGCCAGAGGGTTAATGCAATGTGCCAACTTTGTTTTTTTTTAAAAAAAAAAAAAATTGATACATTTGTCATTAGTTTTCAAGATTCTTATTTGAAGGGTTAAAATACTTTTGCTACAAAAATTATCTGCTTATTATGATTTCGTAAAATTTTTCAGGATGGTAGATGTCGGTGGGCAAAGGTCTGAACGAAGGAAGTGGATTCATTGTTTTGAAAATGTGACATCCATAATATTTCTAGTTGCTTTAAGTGAATATGACCAAATTCTGTTCGAATCTGATAATGAGGTAACATAGCTAGACATTTTCATCTTCATATAGTATTGCTTCTATACTTTATGTAAAATACTTAATACTTTGTATTTTAAGAGTCTTAAAATGTGTTTTATTTGCATTAATATTCTAACTAGACAAGTTATAAATGTAATTTCTAGTTGCTTTAGGGGAATATGATTAAATTTTGTTAAGTATTTTAATGAGGTAACATAGCTAGACATATTTATCTTCATATACAAATATTCCTGTATTGCATGTAAAATATTTAATACTTCATATTTTAAGAGTCTTAAAATAGATTTTTCATTGCATTAATACTCAAACTAGTCAAGCTGTAAATGTGCATCATTTTTTTTTTTTTTTTTTTTTTTTCCTCAGTACCTCAAAGCAAATAAATATATGTAGTTCTTGAAATGTGTAGTGGTAAAAAGTACAGATGGCAGTGGCAGTTCTCAATTATAATCAAGAAAATGTCTTTCTCATGAACTTTACAGGATGAAATACTTTGCTTGTCGCAGAATTGTTCGATGAGTAGTTAAAATGATATTTGCATGTGTAGTGAATGATGTGATGTATTTTAAAATGTTACTGAACTAATTCTATTAATATTTATTATTTTAAATGTAAATATTGTTATTTTATTAGTATATTAAAATAATTATATCGGTAACATTCATCATTCATTATGCATGATTTTGTAAAAGGGTCAATAAAGCTTTCCATAAGTAAGAATAGGCTGTTATTTCATGGATGTTGGTAATGCAGAATGTTTTCATTGTTGGCTCATGAGGGTGAAAGTGGTAGCACCTGATTAGTTTTCTGCAATTACTTGATTCAAGAGTGCATCACTCTTCTGTCAGTAGGAAAGTATATTCTGCAAACACGGCTATGGTTATGTTTGTTTTCACTTCCGAGAAAAACTTTGGAACCAATGCCGCTATCATAGCACAGAAATTAAATCATGAAAGGTCAAGCTAAACAAAACAAAATCAGTAATTCTAACTCGAACTAATAGCAATTAAGGAAGCCATAAAATTTACAAAACATTTTTTTAAAAAATGGATCATCATTCCAGACCGTGCCTCAGGCATTCAAACAACAGCCAGACAAAATCGTTCAGTAACATCTTTTTTTATTTGTATATTTAAAAATGTTTTTAATTAGATTATTTCTCAAACTGAAGAGACATACTGTAATTGTTTACAGTTATATAATAATCTGATAAATTTCGCTTGTTATGTAATAGATAGGAAATATTTTACCTTTTAAAATTTCATCCATATCATTTTGAGTATTAGGTTAGCAAGTAAAATTTCATTGAAGGTATATGTGAATTTTTACACGTGTTTGCTTAATAATGTAATAATTTCAGATATGCAGGTAAAAATTACGATTGGTAACAGAGGCTCCATCTATTTGAAAAGAAATTTAAGTCACCTCTTTCTGAGTGCAATTCAGAGCAATATATATTTTTATTAGTCATTGCCAGGGTTTTTAAAGAAGAGGCTTTTTTTGTGTGTCTTATATATAATAGATGTACTGTAGAAGATCCTGCTGTGTTACACATCGAGCCAGTGCGCCATTGATCAATATGGTCAGGGAGTTTGAAGAACTTTTGGAGAGATCTGTTCAAGGCTGATGCTTTGGTGGAAATTTTTGCTATTCAGGGAAAAAGGAAGTAATCAATAGATTTTTATGAGTTTGAATAGACAGGTGTAGGAAATGCAAAAATTTTTGTCCGTGCTATTTTAAATTTTTAGTATTTAAAACCCAAGATGTATCTTTAGAATGGGATATTTTGCATTCTTTAGACTTTTTGCAAGGTTCAGGATGTTCATCATAAGGACCTTTTTTCATCAACCATTACCTTAGTGATGGTTGATGAAAATTGAGAATACATGAATGAATACTTTCTCATTGGATATTAGACAGCACAGATAAGTGATAAAAAATTATCTTTCATTTTTCATATTTTCCTGACCTACCTCTTTTTCACTCTGTACTGGACAGTTTTCTTTGTGAAAATTCATCTGTGCACTGAGCTGTATAGCATTTTTTACTGAAGGCAAGGTGAGTATTATTCGAAAAATACAAAATGAATGTAGTTAAATTGATATCAGCTGGGTATACAATTTGTCCATATCTGCAGTCTTGCCATGTTTGAAAATTGAGACTGCATTATTTCTATTCAATGAGGTATTTTTTTTTTTTTTTTTTTTTTTTTTTTTTTTTAAATCCTACATCCGTTTTTGTCATTTCGACCATTAGTCAATGGGCAGACCAATAGAATGATGAAAGTGTAAAAAAGTAATAATTAAAAATTAGCCTCCATAAAGTTGTCTGTAATAAACTTTAAAATAATATGACAGTTCTTGAGGTGGTCTCCATCCATATCACCCTGATGACACAGAGGGCAACAAGCTGAATCCTTAACTCCAATTCGATGTAAATGTTGCTGTAAACAATCATGACCAGTTGTATAATAAAAACAAGTAACTCCAACAGCCTGAGGTGGGGGTTATTTCTTTTGTTGAGCAGGATATTCCACTTCTTATCCACTGCTGCATCAACATATGAGACACAGAGGACAACAAGCTGAATCCTTAACTCCAATTCGATGTAAATGTTGCTGTAAACAATCATGATCAGTTGTATAATAAAAACAAGTAACTCCAACAGCCTGAGGTGGGGGTTATTTCTTTTGTTGAGCAGGATATTCCACTTCTTATCCACTGCTGCATCAACATATGAGGATATTCTGCTATTTTTCATTTTATTATATATAAATCATTTAATATTATGCAAAGATAAAGGAGACTCAGGTTGGACCATAAGGGATCAGGCCTTGGCAAGTCTATCTGTCTGCTCGTTTCCAGAAATATTGTAATGGCTCGGAATCCACTGAAGAACAATGCTCTTTCTGTTTTCCCTTAGCACAAAAAGTTTTAGTAGAATGAACCTGGACATTTTCATTATAGTTAGACTTGGTACGTGACAAAATAGCAGCTTGTGAATCAATGAAAAACACAATATTTTGATCTTGTCTATTTTTTAATTTATCATTGCATATGTTATAGCTCATTGCATATGTTATAGCTACTGTCTTCAGAATTATCACAATACTTCCCACAGCTCATACTAAAATTACTTGAATAGACTTCAGAAGTAGCATTTTTTATTTCATTTTCTGCTGAATCATGCGTGTAAAGATGGAACCACTTGTCTGGAGGGTACCTGAAATGTATGGTTGCTAGAGCAGCATTTTTAAACTCATTCAGTGTGGAAGGGTGTTTGTTGACATTCCAAGCAAGATGTTCCAAGCAAGATCCAGATGTTTTTCCAGCTTATCTAAATTTAAAACAGCATTCCACTCTTGTGAGAAAAACCTGATGATTGGGTGTAGGAATATGGTAAGTATCATAAAGCTCATACACAATTGAAGGATCTATGAGTCTTCATTCACTTGCTGGTCTACAGCAATTTAAAAAGCTTTCTTCTTAAGATTTTTTTCAACAAGATTCATAGCACTCCTTTGGCACCTTTCATTAAAGACTCCAAATCTGTCTATAATTCCATAGCAACAATAGGAGTTGGTTTTACGCCGCCAGTAATCAATCACAATATGTTGTTTTGCAAAATATCCAGCTTATTTCAAACAGAATAATAAAAATATCATTACCACATTCAATAACAGGATGCAGTTAAAGCTGTTTGTAAAGCAAAAGAGAAAGTATTAACCTTTTAAAACCAAATTATTAACCTTTTGTAAATGTTGATTCCTTTAAAATTACAAATGCTTCATTATTCCGTAAACAACCATTTCATAATTTTGCATGTCATCTTACTAGATTTAAATTAATGATCTAAAATCTGGCTCTATCTTAAACCTTGTGCTATATTTCTTCAGGGAAAATTGTCAGAGAATCAGGGAGAACATTTTCAGTTTAGATATTGAAAAATGGGCCGGGAGGGGGGAGTATTTAGGAGAAGTCTCTTGCTAGTGCAAAGTGAAACATTTTCAGTGTCATTCAAACTGGGCTGTTCTACAAAATGATGCCAAACTAGATTTTGAAATTTGAAGACCAAAGATGCACTGACAGAAACTGTCAAAATTGCTGATCACAATTCTTGTATGTGCCAGTATGAATGATTTTGTGTGTTGTAGGAATTGGGTATTTGGAAAATCTCTCCGAAGCTGTTTGTAAGATATGGATAAGGTTAGAATTGTTTTGAAAGGAGTTATAAAAGTTAGTCCAAAGGTGATTTTTTTTTTTTTTTTTACTGATAACTTCACACACAAATGTCAAAGTGAAGCTTGGATTAAAACTGTTCTCTTGCCCTCGAACGCAACTTTGATCCTGAACATATGTATTTGTGGAAGATGCTGTGTGGGAAACTGTCTTGTATCCATATTACACAGGGGGCGGCACCCATGAAAATACGGAAATGCCACACTGAGCTTTGAAGCAAGGTCAAACTATCTGTATTCAACAATTTTAGTGCTTGGCTGCTCTTAGAAATGAAAACTAGAATTTGCTTATCGATAAGAAACTAGTGGAAGAAGGCACTTCATTGTTTTCAGAGGGCAGTATGGAGCTTTTCCAAATGTCCGATAATGATGTTGCATTCGAAGATCCACATGATGAAGATATTTTCACAGAAATTAAAATGAGAAATACTGATTTTGAAAATTCTTCTTCTGATGTTGATAAAAATGAAGAAGAAATGGGGAACACATGAAAAGCAAACTCCCTGCTAGTTGCAGTGTGTGTCATTAATAAATTGTTTTTCACATAAACTGTGAAACTAATAACCATTTTGTTTCTTTAACAAAAACATAGATAAATGTTCTTACAGTCTGCATCACACCAGCATAAAATTATAGATAACTTTTGCATTTAGAAGTGAAATGAAAGTTAAAGGGAAATTCATATATATTTTTTGTTATTAAGTTGATTATTGATAGTCACAAATACGTATTTTAGATGAAAATATGTAACTGAAAGGATAGA